CCTCCTGGCCCCATGCAACCTCTGGCAGAGACCAGCGTGATGGTAGCACACAGAGCTTGCTCAAAGAGCTGTCCTTAAACATTTGGCACCAAACTTTTTAAAAGCAGTACATGAAAACAATTCTCTTTGCAAAGTACCCCCCATCAACAAAAAGAAAAAAAGCAAGATTTTGAAACAGATATTGATAAAAAGCTAAAACCCACCCAGATGCCACCTGTGATGTGCTGCACCACATGTTGATGAACTTTCCTTTAAGACTGAACTGAATGTGCCAACATGGAAAGAAACCTGGAGATTGCCCTGCAAAGATCCACGTGGATACAGTGAGCAGATAATTGTTTATTATTGCACGTAATCCAGCAGAACAACCAACAGAAAACTCGGGACAGTAGTACACAGATTGTAGTAAACAGCTTGCAAAATCTGTGATGAAGGTATTTTTGTGTGAAGAGTGAAATGTATCTGCATCTTTGTAAGACCTGAAAAGTATAACACAATATCCTAGTCAGTTTTGAAAGCATGCAGTTTGAGGTAAATCTGTTCTTTGGCATCCAAGAAAATGAAATCCCTAAGGGGCTATATATATGTATATATATCCATATCTCAGCGCAATATGGATATATTTATACGTCACATAAAAGCAAATCTACCTACTTTTCTGAGAAGGTTACTAGAAGGAAAGCACATTACTGAGTGAACATCACATGCATAAAAAATTAGGGTGGGGGGGAATTACCTTAGCACTGTTGAAGAAGATCCATTTTTGTGCTTAATGATAAATAAAAGCCCCTCAGGTCTCTCAACAGAAATTGTCTTGGTAGTTAATAAAAGCAGTTGACATATCAAAACTGCAGAGCTGACAAGTGAGTGCCAGCAAACAGAGATAAAACGTCAAAGGCAGCAGAGCCTGGGGTTTGCAATACATGTATACTTAAGAAAAAAAAGAAAGAAGCAAATTGCTACTAAACTATGCTCTGTGGAAGTGTAGATGATGCTGCACAGCTTTCTCAGGACTGGTACAGCCACATGGCTTTTAGAAAAGGATCACATTCACTTCTCCCACAGTTAACACCATGTATTTGCTACTGTGGCAAAGTTCCTGAGCTGAATAAGGTTAAAAAATAAACTTGGTTCACAAAGAAAAGTACTGAATTATCCTCACTCTCTTATGACATAATTAGAGCAGATAAATTAGGCAGGTTTTGCCCTGTGTCTCCAGTCAGTGTAAACCTCTGCCCCAGAAAAATTTCTGCCACCCTGGCTCTGAAATCCTTTCAGGTTGACCTTTGGAGCAGACTGGGCATCTGATTTTTCCTTAATCATAATTTCCCCATTCTTTCCAGTCCCTCAGGTTTCCCCACCCAGTCCTGTGCTGTGGGACTTCAGGATACACAGAGGTGCACAACCAACTATAAATAACATTTCTGGTTATCTTAAAAAGGGATAGAAAATACATATTGCTCTTAAAAGAAGAAAGAAAAATGTCCAAGCACTCAGCCTCACACTAAACTGTAACTTCATCTGTACCGACTTTCTAAGCTCGCACTGCTAAGGATCAGAGCAGATCATGGTGGAAACATCTCCTAAAGGTCACCCTCTGTCGCAGCTTTGGGAATATTTGGTGCAAATGGCCCAGGCCTCTAAGCCTCACACACAAGAACAACAGCTAGAAATGCCCCTCTGTACTGTGCCACTGCTGAAAGTCTGGCTGCTGCGTATTTTTGAGCCTAATACCCAAATACACTGGAGTCACTCCAGTCTCTGCACCTTTTTCCTTCCAGGAATAACGTAACCTTTCCCACGACAGCCACTATGCATCCTCTGGCTAGAAAGTCTGTCCATTCTGTTGCAATGAAAGAGCACAGGAGCCCCACTGCAGCCCAGCACACCCAGGAGAGGAACCTGCAGGCATACAGAGGTATTTCTTCAGTAAGTGCCTCCTTTTCGTTGTAACTCGCACCATTTTCATAGAAAAAAGGGGTAAAGAGACAAATTCAGCACACTTATTTCCTTTCCCTTTACAGCGAGAAGTTGCCCGCTGCCAGACACTTCTGTGCAGAGCATTGCTGTTGGCAGAAGAGTGCTTGGATGGCGCCTGGTGCCAAAACGGGCACCATCCCCACCCGCAGCACCCCCTGCATGCACAAACAGCCTGGGATCAGTCAGTCCCTTGCTCCTCACCCCACAGGGCCTGGCCATGGCAGGTCAGCAGGCACAAGCAAGACTCCGGTTACACTTCAACAAGCCCAATTTCAACTTGCTCCCCCTCTCAGTCCTCCAAACGTGGAAAAGACTTTTTGTTTGTCCCTTTGAATGACTTTGGAGCATGGAGGGCGATGTTGTCCACTCCTACTCACGGCACAGCTCTCATGAGTCATTTTGGTTGCTGTGTATTGTTTCATCTCCACGCCGTGGATGATAATGTTTGGGAAATCTCTGACACTGAGTCAACCAAGGGAGTTACAAAACACATCAGTGTGTACGGATGAGACCTTCTCACTTGTTTTCCTACAGCTACAGATAAATCCCGCATCCCTGGCATGACAGGACAGTTGATGGCTTTGGTGAGAAAAATTTAAGGCAACTGCTATTTTATACAAAGAAGAGAAGGAGGCTGAATTGCAGAAACCCTGGCTTTTCCTTGGTAGATTGCAGAGGCCAGCGACAGCCTGGGAGCAGGGAGACTGAACTGATCTTCAGGCGCTTTCATTTAAGGTTCATGTTTGCACTGCAACCTTGGGAGAAGGCCTCCTCTTAGGTGTCTCGACGGCTGAAATTTAACCCCCGCCAAGGTCTGTAGTCTCCATCAGCAGCAATGCCTGTCCCAGACACAGATGAATGGGAGAGTCAAGGGGGAGAAAAAACACATGACTAATACATAATCACGGCTGTCTGCAAGGCTTTCACCTGCACAGGCTGAGTGGGGATGAGTAAGGTCACAGAAAGCAGTGCCCAGCGGAGCACTTTTAACCTTGAGGAGGCCCCAGGAAGGCACCCCAATGCCCTCATGGGGGCCTGGGACATGCCTTTTGCGTGATGTTCACGTGAGGCCCAAGGGTCAGGTTCAGCCTTGATGTTTGTTTTTTTCAGTATTTGAGCCCACGGCAACAGAAATCTTGTGCAAACCCATGATGCATTCCTGTGTGCAGGAACCCCACAAGACTTTATTGCCACCAAATCCAAATGCAAACCCTCATCCCAATTCAAGTGGAAGACCTGAGTAAGTTCCAGTTTAAGCTTAGTCAGATACACATCTCAGCTCATATTTACCTTTAGTAACACAGCTAAGTAACAGCTGCAGAACTAGCACTGGCTCAATTAGAGCTGCAAATTTTACACTTTCACATTCTCTTTGCCTCTTGCCGGACTGAAATATTGCAAGAAATATTGCAATACACAACCATTTGACAGCAGTAGCCACAGAACAGCAAACTGAAATTGCTTCTTGCACAAAACAAATTTCAAATTTAACATCACACATTCTTGCACTGGAAGTCTTACTCCGTGAATCATATCCACCTGACTGGGAAGGCAAAACTAGATTGTGGAATTGCATCTAATCAGCACAGTTCGGTATTTTAAATTTTAGGAAATTATTTCATGAGAAGACTGGAGAACATCCACTCAAATTACTTCACACTCTTGGAACAGACAAGAACTGAGTATCTCAACGCTCAATGCAAGGTGATTGAATCTACTGAATAAATGCTCATGCATTTCCATCACCAGGGCATCCGTCAGTGAATGATTTGTGTTGGCAATAAAGCCAGTTCACCCTCAACTGTTCACAGTGAAGTCTACAAATTGAGGATAAAATCTCATTGCTCATCTTACCTTGTCCGAGGGGTGCATCATGTCAAAAAATGTACAAATAGGATGGCCAGACCAATGTTCAATAAGATGACCATGCAGATCACAATCGTGTTAGGTCCCTGAAGGAAAAACCCAAAACAGAGTATTATACACTGCAATTCCAGGTGAGAAGACAGATACAGCTTGATTTAAAAACACCAGAATCATCCCCTCCCAATGCACATAAATCTGGCATGTAACAATCAGCCTGAATTTCACACTAATTTAATATCTATCAATCCCTATTCCTATCTCTCCTCTGCAAACTTCTTCTAAGGAGGCTAAATTAGGCTTCCTCTGAGGCTAAATCAGATTAAAGGAGACCATGACCACAGGCACTCAAATTGCCAAGCTCATGTCAAGCTGCCCCTCCCCACTCCTTTCTTCAACCACAGCACCCATGTTTGTAAAGCTGCCATTTTTACAAACGCATCTGTATGAGATCACTCATATTTCAGACCAAAATATTTCCAAGCTGTGCTTTTCTAAAGTTGCATTATGTCCAAAGGGCTGCAAGATGAGAAGCAGGGGGCTAATAAAATGTCTGGTTTCACAGCTGTATTGGCTAAGAGCAAAATTGATTTTCTATATTTTAAACCTGGGAAATCAGGTGGTGATTCAACATCACAGCTCAGCTCATGAGGTGCCCTTACTGCAAAAGAGTAAAAGTAACAGGTAAAAAAGAAACCCCACTCAGTTTTTTTTCCCCATCATACATTTCAACCCAACTTTCCAGATCCATGTTGGCTGGTGAAGGAGTGGGAAAGGAAGGGGAGAAAAGTGTAAAAACAGTATCACAGAATGCCTGTTTCCCTCAAATTATGAAATAAGGACGTGTTTGAAAGTGTATCTGTCCCAGTGCAGAGAGGAAGCTAAAATAATAGGGTTATGAATGCCAGCCTGGGCAGCCAGGACAGGGCAGGATGGAAACCAAGACCCTCCTCCAGCAGCCTTTGGGATCCCAAAAAGAGCCTCTGGGCACTCACTGGGGCCCATTGCAGCCCTGAGACCATGGGCTCTGCATCCCTCTGGGCCCTCCTGGGGAAAAATAACCTGCCACCCCCATAAAAAAAAAGCTGGCTGCCCCCATGTCACCTCTTCGCACTCCTCCACTTCCTGCGCTGCTGCCACCGTCACTGGACTTCGCTTGGCCACTCCTTTGGGCTCTGTCCGCCCTGGTGCCCTGGCCTCAGTCTTCTTGTCAGCAGCAGGCTCAGCCCTGCCAGCGGCCTTGTGCTCAGGGCTGTGGCGCTGCTTTGGCTCCTTGGGTCGGGGTGGCTCCGGCTTGGCCTCTGCCCTAGCCACTGGCTTCTCCTCCTGCTCCTGTGGTGCGGCAGGGGTGCCCCCTCGGTGCTGAAGGTCCCCCCGGAGCTCAGGGGAGGGCAGCTCCGGCTCGGGGAGCGGCTCCTCCTCATTGTCTGTGGTAGGGGTAACCGGGGAGGTCCGGACGGCATAGCTGTGGTAGCCCTTGAAGAGCTCGACATCGGGTTCACGTGCCATCCTCTGCAGTGGCCCAATCTCCATCTGGTCAGCAGGACGTCCCTGGCCCCGTGAGGCCGGCCGGCCCTCACTCTCAGGGGGTGCAGGGCTCCCACCGCTCGCCCGGCCACTCGCCTT